GAGGGCAGGCAAAATTGGAGATAGAGAAGCATGATTTACTGCTGACATTCCCAGCTCTCCCTCAGCAAAACAGCAGAACCTTTTTGGGGGTAAAGCCTTTTTTCGTCACCACATTACTTGCAAACAGAAAGCAGAGATGAAACAGGTCATTTGTACTCACTAGGAGGGAGATCAAGTGAGAGAACCTGCTGCAAGGCTTATGTTGCTGGAGGACAAACCTGCTCGGTTGCTTCACTGACACTGTGTGTTGGCCAACAGACTGGCTTCTGGAGCTGGTGTTTAAACTGTGGTCAATGTTACGTGCCTGGACAGGAAATTGAGAATTTCCTACCATTGTCTAAGAGCGTGGCAGTGGAACAAAAACATAATAGGTTTTGTTCCTGTGGAGTACAGCAGGACTGGAAGAGCAGAGCAGCACAGTAAAGGGACAGCTAAAAGGAACAAGTACGTGTCCAGTGCTGGCAACTGTGTTTCCTATCACCCTTTTGCTCCTTTCTCTGGAAGAAATGTGGTCTAATAGGGGCATGCTCTGCAGTTCATCCACTGGGTGTGTCTCCGAGCCAGGAGCTTCCACACAAATAGTGTTAAGACCCTAGCTGATGGTACTATGGGCAAGTTAGACTCCAGAATGAAACCTTACTTGATGTATCACAAGTTCAGTTTTTGCAGTTGGTTACCATGTTGGTTAGTCACTGGGCATATAATTCACAAAGCTGCGAATGTTACTTAACAAAAGAACACAAGTTTATTGAACAAAGGAAGTGCTCACTCATGGCATGTGAGCTAACGGCTGTGGGCCAGCATTTATTGCCCATCCCTAGTTGCCCTTGAGAAGGTGGTGGTGAGTTGCCTTCTTGAATGACTGCAGTCCATGTGCTGTAGGTGACCAACAATGTCCTTTGTGAGGGAATTCCAGGATTTTACCAGTGCCAGTGAATGATGGCAATATGTTTCTAGCCAGGATGGTGAGTGGCTCAGAAGGAGCTTGCAGGGGTTGGTGTCCCCATGTATCTGCTGCCCTTGTCCTTCTAGAGGGAAGTGGTCATGGGTTTGGAAGGTGCTGCCTAAGGAGATTTAGTGAATTTCTGCAGTGCATCGGGCAGATGGCACACACTGCTGCTACTGAGCGTTGGTGGTGGAGGGAGTGGATATGGTGCCATTTAAGTGGGTTGCTTTGACCCGGATGGTGTCAAGCTTCTTGAATGTTGTGGGGCTGCAGTCATCCAGACAAGTAGTGAGTATTCTATCAGACTCTTGACTTGTGCTTGTAGATGGCGGATAGGCTTTGGGGAGTCAGGAGGTGAATTACTCACTGCAAGGTTCCTAACCTTTGACCTACTGTTATAGCCACTGTGTTTATGGGATGAGTCCAGTTCAGTTTCTGGTTGTAACCTCCAAGATGTTAAAAGTGCGGGATTCAGTGATGGTAACACCGTTGAATGTCAAAGGATGGTGGTTAGATTAACTCTTATTGGTGATGATCATTGCTTGGAATTTGTGTCGCGCAAATGTTGTTTGCCACTTGTCAGCCCAAGTCTAGATATTGTCCAAGTCTTGTTGCATTTGGACGTTGACTGCTTCAGTATCTGAGGAGCTGTGAATGGTGCTGAACATGCCTGCTTCAGTCCTTTGACGGCAGGGAGGGTTAGAGACTGTCCTGCTGCTGACATGCTGACACTTCAGACTATACCTCACCTCTATTATATCTTCAACTTGCAGTATTCAAGAAGTCTTTTCAAGATCTTTGGCTCAAGCTTCTTCAATCACACCTTGTGCTTATAAAGTCATACAGCATGGAAACAGACCCTTTGGTCCTCTTCGTCCATGCTGACCAAGTTTTCCAACCTAGGCTAGTTTCATTTGCCTGTGTTGGGCCCATATCCCTCTAAATCTTTCCTATTCATGTACATGTCCAAATGTCTTCTAAATGTTTTAACTGTACCTGCATCTACCAATTCCTCTGGCAGTTCACTGCACACATGAACCATGCTCTGTGTGAACAAGCTGAGCCTCAATCCTTTTTAAAGTTTTCCCCTCATCTTAAAATTATGCTGTCTAGTTTTGAACTCCCCCACCCTACGGAAAAAAACTTTTGCTATTTACCTTATCTGTGCCCCTCATGATTTTATAAACCTCTATATTCATTTTTTTTTCTGAAGAAGGGTCTAGGCCCGAAACGTCAGCCTTCCTGCTCCTCTGATGCTGCTTGGCCTGCTATGTTCATCCAGTTCTACCCCTCAAACTCCTAAGCTCCAGTGAAAAAGTCCCAGCTTATCCAGCCTCTCCTTATAATCCAAAACATCCAGCCCTCCTGTACAACCACAACGTGACATCCCAACTCCTATACTCAATGATCTACTCTAGATTTGTATCTCCACTGCTGCCACTGTATTTTCGTATGGCTTCACGTGTTCTGATCAGACCTCAAAGCACTGATTCCATCAGTTTTGTTCACAATATATTCATGATGTTGTGCAGCACAACTGCTTGCTCCAAGCTGCTTCAGTTCCAACCCTTCAGCAGTCTCTAATCGCATGACGGATGAGGTGACGGTTACATCAAGGCTCATTGCTCTCTTAAAATGCTGTTTTTTAATTCACTTGTGGGACGGGGGGGTCACTGACCCAACCAACATTTATCGCCCATTACTACATTCTGAAAGCTTGTGATTTCAAATAAACCTTTTGGACTATAACCTGGTGACGTGTGACTTCTGACTTTATCCACCGCACCCCCCCCCAAACCCCCACCAACCCCGATCCAACACCAACACATCCCCATCGTTTTTAAGAGTGGACCTTGTTCTACTATAGGAAATGTATAGTCGACTTGTGAACAGCAAGATCCCACACGCAGCCCTGTGAGACTGATGAACGAATCTGTTTATGTAATGTTGATCAGGGAATAAATGGGGCATATGTTGCTGTGGTTGGCACTCTGTCCCTCTTGTAATCCCATGGGATCTTCTACATTCATCTCAGACAGGACTTTGGGCTATATTCTCAGGATACATCTGTGGGAAGGTGCGGTCTGTTAATCCCTAGGCCCAGTTAAAATTTCTGGGGACCAGGTTTGAATCCCACCACAGCAGATGGTGGAAATTGAATTCAGCTAAAAAAAAGTATAATCGTGACCATGAGACCATAATCAATTCTTTGGTGGGAGGGTGGGGGGAATGCTCACATGATTCACTGATGCCCTTTGAGGAAGGAAACTGCCATCCTTACTTAAGCTGGCCACCATGTGACTCCAGATACACAGTAATGTGGTTGACTCTTAAGTGCCCTCTGGGTAGTTAGGGATGGGTAATAACGCTGGCCCACTCAGAGGTGCCCATATCCCAAGAATGAATGGGAAAAATCTCCTTGCTGCTTGTAATAGCAGGCAGGGAATTTAAATTGTTTGTTTGGCACAGAATCAGGCTGTTCAGCACAACTGTTCCAGACCATTGTTTGTGCTTAAAATGTGCCTTTTCCCAATTTATTTCATCTCAGCTCATCAGCATTATCTGCTATTCCTTTCTGTCTGCTGTGAGGACACACCAAGGTTAATATTTCTCTTTTGCTGTCTGATGATTGCCCAGGACACACTGGTGGAGATTACTGGGCAACAGCAAGGGGAGATGGTCAGCCAGACAATGGAAGTTCTATGCTGGAGTTCTACACATGCAGATGCTGGGTCACTGCAAGTGCCTTAAGAGTGACTTTCAGACATTTTTTTAGTTCAGTCGAGGACACCTCAGCATCGATGCTGTGATGCCCAACCATTGCCAAACCCTGATGTGGTGTCGGGGGGATATCAGCATCATTAGCAAGGCCACTCGATGGTGGCAGAGATGGTGACATAATGGTTAGCCATGGGGTGGGGTAGCCCAGTTCACTGACCAGCTGAGCTCAGCACAAAGGACGCTCTGCCTTTTCAACCTTGTCCCTTGCCTGAGGCGTGGTGACCCTCAGGTCAAACCACCACTGGTCGCCTCTCTCTAACGAGAGGGCAGCCCATGGTCCTCTGGGACTATGGCGACTTTCACATCACTTCCCTAGTAATCCAGCAGCTGAGCCCAATGCTGGGTTCAAATCCCACCACAGCAGCTGGTGAAACTTAGATCCAATGAATAAATCTGGAATTGAGAGCTAGGCTTGGGAATGGTGACCATAAAGCTATCATCAATTGTCATAAAAACACCCTTCTAGTTTGACAAAGCCCTGTAGGGAGTGCCAACTGGGAAGGGCGTGCCAGTAATTGAGACCCACCTAAGGATTGTAATGATCTTGCCAGTGACGCACCCCTTAGTGGAATAGTCTGCCTAAGCTTTGAGTCTTGCACATGAGTATGGTATTTTGGATGAGGTGCTGTCGGGTGGACTGTCAGCATTTGTGGACCCACCATCACACGGATGAATTTGGGGCAGGAAAAGTGAGCATTTGCCCCCTCAAACCTTGTCTGCCATTAAGTAAGGTAATAACTGACCTGGTGGTGGTCTCAACTCCACTTTCCTGTCTGCTCCACATAGCCCTCAAATCCCCTATTGATCAAAACTCCATCTAAGGCAGCCTTGAATAAATTGGCTGTTCTCTAGGCTAGAGGCTTCCACAGATTAACAATCATCTGACAGAAAAAAAAGTCTCCTCATCTCTGTCTGAAATGGGAAAGCTGTTCATTTTTTTAAACTGTTTCGCTTCATTCTAGACTCCTCCTGAAGGGGAAGCATCCTTTGGCATTGCTGTTCATACAGGAGCGAGTTTGAACAGGGGTTTTAGTGTTTGAAGTGAGCCCTGCCAGTTCTGGGACTCAGTAAATAGTACAAGTGAACAGCAGAAGAGAAAGATCTCTTTGTTCCCTCTGCCCTGACCTCAAGAGCAGCCCCTTCTGGAAATAAAAATCCTTGGATGATTACTGCAGGCAGTGGAAAATTCCAAATCCTCTTTCTCTGTTCAACATCCTCCCTCCACTGCTTTCTGCACCTTTCTCTGAGAGAGTCCCTCACAGTACCAGGGAAACTCGGGCCTCTCTCTCTGCTGGGTATGAAGGTATTAGGCTTGGCCTGTCACCTTGAAAGTGTCACCTAACTATTCCAGGAGGCCGCAGATCAGAATTTTGTCCTGTCTCTGCTCCTGAATTCTTCGCCTCCCCCACCGCCGTGGGCAAAGCTATCACAGGGCAGGTCTGCGACTTGCATCCAGTCTCCCGAAATTTCAGTGCTGGACGTACAAAGACCCACGTCCCGTCTCCTCTCTTCCCATTTGAGGCAAGTGTGAGGGAGTTACAGCGATACCTCCAAATCTCACAGACGGACACCACCATACGTAAAGGTAGGTGTTATAAGAACAGTTGCTTAAAGTGGTGGTTCTTTGCCATTTTTCATAGGACGCTTCTCTCTCCTGCTGACCGAGGGCCAGACGTAGAGTCGCGTGGGTTCTTTGGCGCCTTTTTGAAGTGAGGGTTGAAGGCAGTGGGGGTTGACGTGTTGCCATTGCTGTGCCAACTGCAATCCATTTGGTTGCAGGATGGAAATGAGGAGCTGGAACCTGAGCTAACGTTAACCCCTTGCAGGCTGACAGTGCTGACAACAACATCGCAGCCATCACCCGTCCCCCAACCTGCCCCTGCTAAGTGCGGAGGTGTGGCGAGTGGGTGGGAGTCAATGTCTCAGGTCCCCCGGACTCAAACTGTCTGCTCAGAAGCTCGAGATGACCCACGTTGTGCAAAGTTTCATATTGCTTGAATTTTCTACCTGCTCTCTCTGGGAGCTGCCCTGTCCCTCTAACAGAGAACAGTAAAATAGCACATTGTGGCAAAGAAGACCGGTCAGCCCATCGTACCTGTGATGGCTTTTTTAGAACTATCCAATTAGTCCCACTCCATTGCTCTTTTTCCCATGACCCCTTGAAACCTGCTGGCTTTTAATGTATTTCTCTAATTTCCTTTCCTAAGTTTATATGGAATCTGCTTTCTGGCAGTACCTTCCAGAATGCAGCAACATATGATTACAAGAAATCGAAGCAGGAGTAGGCCATTCAGCCCCTCATATCCGCAGACCCATTCAGTAAAATCATGGCTGATCTGAGTGTAGCCTTGATTCCAATTTCCTGTCTGTCACCCATTTGTCCTTGATAATCAAAACCCTGTCTAACCCAGGCTAGAAAAAAAAATCAATCAATGATCCAGCCCCCACTGCTTTTCAGGGAACAGAATTCCAAGTGTTAATTCTCATAGAATCCCTACAGTGTGGAAGCAGGCCATTCAGCCCATTGAGTCCACACTGACCCCCTGAAGATCATCCCACCCAGAACCACCCTATCCCTGCATTGCCCGTGGACAATCCACCTAACCTGCACATCTTTCGACTGTGGGAGGAAACCGGAGCACCTGGAGGAAACCCACGCAGACATGGGAAGAATGTGCAAACTCCACACTGTCACCTGAGGGTAGAATCGAACCCAGGTCCCTGGTGCTGTAAGGCAGCAGTGCTAACCAGTGAGCCACTGTGAGCCAGCTCTCCTCCAAGAGAAGAAAAAAATCTTCCTCACCCCTTCATACCCTTAATTTGAAGATGTGTCTCTAGTTCGGTAAGTGGAATCATCAATTCTGCCCCATTAAGCAGAATCTGATGTGTTTAATAATAAGGCCACTTCTCATTCTTCTACACTCCAAGGAGCATAGAACCAACATGTTCATAAGACAAACCCTATGTCTCCACCTTCTCCAAACTGTTTCCAATGCAAGTATGTCTATTCTTAAGTAAGAGATGCAAATCTGTACAGAATATTCTAGGTTTCTCCTTGTGATTCGCTTGTCTCAAATCTGTGCCACTGATTTGCTCTGTCAAATCATGATTTTGAACATGTCTGTCGAATCTCCCTTATCTGTCTCTCCGTCCTGGAGATCAGTCTGAGGTTCTCAAAACTACACTTGTCACTTTGTCAAGCTATGACCACTGGCCGCAGGAGTCCCATGGTTTTGTCCTCTTCTTGTGGGAAGTGTTTACACTCCAACCCAGTCACTGATGTAGGAGGTAAACCTGGGGATTGAGGAGGTTACAGAGGTGGGGAGGGGCAATGCCACGGAGGGATTTAAAACTTCCAGGAAAATAAATTTTAAAATCAAGATGCTATCCATCCACGCATCAATGTCAGTCAGCAAGAACAGGGTGATAGAGGAATGGGAGTTATTGCAAGTTAAGACATGCCCAACAGAGTCTTGGAATACCTAGAGACCAAGTAAACCTGTATGAAAGCAGCTGGAAGTACTCAAGAATAGTGAGGGCTGGAGGTGATGAAGGCGTGAGTGAGGCTTTCAGCAGCAGATGGGCTCAGACAGGGTTAAAGTCAGGCGATGTTATAGAGGTGGCCATTGCAAGTGATGGCTACGACTGGATGGATAAGAATGGAAGCAGGGAAGAGATGCTCACCAACACATTACTTGGACCATGTCACAGTGGCTCAGTGGTTAGCACTGCTGCCTCACAGCACCAGGTACCTGGGTTTGATTCCAGCATCAGGCGACTGTCCCTGTGGTGTTTGTTCATTCTCCCCGTGTCAGCGTGGGTTTCCTCCCACAGTCCAAAGATGCACAGATTAGGTGGATTGGCCATGCTAAATTTCCCATAGTGTCTAGGGATGTGCAGGCTGGGTGGATTATCCATGGGAAATGCAGGGTTACAGGGATAGGGTAGTGGGGTGGATCTGTTTGGGATGCTCTTTGGAGGGTCAATGTGGACTCAATGGGCCAAATGGCCTGCTTCCACACTGTAGGGATTCTATGATTATGTCCATGCCAGTATTTATGTCATGCTGTACACCACTCTCCCCTTAACATCAAAATAACCTTCTATCCTCTTGACGACATGTCATCTATATTCCTCACCTTAACCTCTCCTTGGATAAAGAACTTTCTGCTGAATTTCCTATTGGACTTCTTGATCATTTTCTTATATTTATAGTCATTAATTTAGGCCCACCTTTCACAAGTGGATGACAGTAACGTGGTGATTATGTTATTGGATTGGTAACCCAGAGGCTAATGCCTTGGAGACATAAGTTTGTATGGCTGGGGAAGAGGGTGCTAATTATTTGGATGACGGTTGCCATGGATATTATGGATCATATCCCCCTCAAAATACATCAAGGAGATAGTGTAGACTCTAGCTTTTATCTTATTTAAAGGCAAGTGTAAGGCGTTGTGTTCCAGGTGTGATTCCATTGGTTCATCACGAGGCTTTAAGCAAAGCAAACTTTATTCTTACCTCACAGTTAAAGTACAAACAAAAACAGAAGAATTGGCAATAACTTTAACTCTATTAAAATACTTAATAAAGTAATATATTATTTAATTACTGACTAGCAAGAGTTCCAATATAGCAGCAAGCCCTTTGGCAAAGGCAAATTCCACAGAATAGATTTTCTTCAGGTGTCATCTCCTCCAGTCCAGGAGAAAGGAATACCAAAACAGCCATTCTAGTAGCAGAGAGAGAACTCAAGCTTTTTACTGCAGCAGAGAGAGAGAGTTGTATCCATCAGCTTTAAACCCCAACTTCAATTGAAAGCCAAACTAAAACCCTGGGTCCATGTAAGCCTGATTCCACCCATTCATGCTTCTTCTGTCTACCTTTAAAAAAAACAATCAGGGAGCTCAAAGTTGTTTACCCACTGCTTCTGAAGCAGACAGTCCCACCACTGGCAACACCTCTCTGCAAGAGAGACATCACAGAACAAATCCCTCTAAAACGCACAATACTGTCACATAGAGACACAGAAGAAGTTGTTAGCTGCTATTAATGCCTCTTTAAAGGTGGTTTTCTTGTGTTTCAGTCCTGATGAGTGCAAGACAAAAAGCTTTGACTTCATGTTTCCTTTTACCAATGTTCAAAAGTATTTGGCTGGAAAGCACTTTGACATTTCTGATTGTCCTGGAAGACCCTATATAATTGTTTTCTCTGGAGCAGCGGAGGCTGAGGGGTGACTTGATAGAAATCTATAAAGTGATGAGATGCATAGATGGTGTTGATGGTCAGAAACTTTTTCCCACAGTTGCAATGTCTAATACTAGGGGACATGCATTTAAGTGAGAGGGGGGGAGTTCAAAGGAGATGTGAAGGGCAAGTTTTTTACACGGAAAGTGATAGGAGTCTGAAATGTGCTGCTAGGGGTGGTAGTGGAGGCAGATATGATAGGGGCATTTAAGAGACTTTTAGATAGCACAAGAATATGCAAGGAATGGAGGGACATGGACCACAGGCAGGCAGAAGGGATTAGTTTAATTTGGCATCATGTTCAGCGTAACTTTGTGGGCTGAAGGGTCCATTCCTGTGCTGGACTGTTCGATGTTGTAATTGCAAGTCTTCCTCTCTTTCATAATTTTAAAGACTTCTGTAAGGTCACCTGTCACCCTTCTCCTTTCTGGAGAAAACAGCCGGACACTGTCCACCTCTTTTCTAAATACTTAGAGTGAGAGAGTCTGCTATTCACCATATTGACATTCCTTGCTAAATCCAAGCACTCAGTCACAATCTGTTCTGGTTAAAGTTCCCTGTGAACACAGAGGAACGCGAAGTGTTTCTCTGCTCGGTTTTAAATGGGTGGCCTCTGATTTGAGCTCTCCAAGAGACAGGGGCAAGGCTGGAAGGAATAAATTATCTCAGGATTTCAGTGGTTTAAGAATTATTCCTTTCTGTGTGATTTGTGCGAATTCTGCTCCAACGATTACATTCACTGGGAGAGTTAGAAAAGGTGAAGCTAGACTGTTATTTTCAGGGCCTGAGTCGGAGGGAAGGCCAATTCAGGGCCCTGAGCCAAAATCCAATCCAAGTCAAATAGGCGATTAGAGCTGGCCGTAGATACGGGGTTTGGTGTTTCATGGGTCACAATGGTCCCTGTGCTTGGACTGATGAAATGGCGCCTTTTGGCTATCACAGACTCCGATGTTACAGAGCTCCCCATAACCCGGGCACACAGACACAAATGTTACAGAGCTTCCCATAACCCGGGCACACAGACTCCGATGTTACTGAGCTCCCAATAACCCGGGCACACTGACACCGATGTTACTGAGCTCCCCATAACCCGGGCACACAGACACAAATGTTACTGAGCTCCCCATAACCCGGGCACACAGACTCCGATGTTACTGAGCTCCCCATAACCCGGGCACACAGACACTGATGTTACTGAGCTCCCCATAACCCGGGCACACAGACTGCGATGTTACTGAGCTCCCCATAACCCGGACACACAGACTCCAATGTTACAGAGCTCCCCATAACCCGGGCACACAGACTCCGATGTTACTGAGCTCCCAATAATCTGGGATTGTG